CTGAAGGTGCGTATGAGGTCTTGGGGGACATGTATAGGTAGATATGGGCCCATAGACTATTGCTAGTATGTTTTGAAGGCCTAGGGAGTGATTCTCACCGAGATTTTAGTGGTTTTGTACGCGGATCACGTGAGATTTCACCCGTGTCGTCCCTATATAGAGAGTCTACCGACTCTCTGATGATGGCTGGAGTTATGGGGCAGTACTCAGTATAACAAGTAAATCCAAAATCCTGCGAGTTTTAAAAAATGAAGCATATAGGGATGGTATAAAAAGAAAGAGAGATAAGATAGGGATGGGATACATGAAACGTGGTTAATTTGAGCATGCTGACACCCCTGACATCAGTGTCTGTGTGGGAAATATTTTCTACAGTATTAGCTATCGTAGCTATCGTACTTAGTGATTACTTCCTGTTACTGTGGAAGTATAATATACTGTTCCATGATAAAAAGTTAAGACTATCCTGCAGTGACAACTCTAAAGAAAGACTCCCTATAAAGAAAGGACCTGCGCATTAATAAGGGACACTTCTGAATAAAGGATAGTTACAGGTGTCCTTTAAACACTCTCTTATGCAGACAAAAGAACCTCTACATGTACCCATTTTCAGCATAGTGTACTTACCGTCATTGAAAGGGTTGGGCTGTATGTTGGCAGTCCTGATATTCCCATATGCATTGCACTCTCCACTACTGTCATCATTCTAAAACATTTCCACCAATGAATAATAGACAATTAAAGTGATAAAAATCATTGTCAAAACTAATATCATGTGATTTGTTATCGGCACATGCTATCAACCCCTTCTGGCTTTAGAGGGTTCAACAGAAGGACAATGGGTATAGTATAGAAGAATGGGACATAGCCAAGTCACAAGGATAAGGGGGAGAAAAAAGGAGAGGTTTTTACCATGTAGACCGGGGCAAGTCCCTTGGAGGAGCAGTTGGTGTTCATGGCTTTGGTGATGTTCCTACAGACGTGGACCTGGAGGGTCTTCTTGACCGGGTTTGAGAAGCCTGGGTTTGTGAGGATGTTTCCCGTCGTGTCGTACACCGTCTGTGTCCACACGTAGCCACTCTCGCTGCAGGCACCCATAGAGCAACACTCAGACACGATTCAACAACCGATAGCTAGCTACGTAGGTTTAGCAAACTTTGCTGTGGAACAGCATGCTATAAACTAGATGATGATTAGCTATAGCTCAGCCAGTGAGAATAGGTTTCACTAGACTGTACATTACTTAAGTTTTGCATGCGCAGATTTAGACCTATGAACTATTTCTTAGTATATGCACAACACTTTTATTGACAAAAACAAAATGATGGCTATTTCAAATTCTCATATACATAATACATTAACACATCAACATTACATGAGGATGAACAGGAGAACCACACTTTAACAAACATTCTCTCTATACTTTACTACAAAGACATGGGTAGTTATACGCACACAATTATGTAGTGACATCACATACTTATAACACACACTCATGCACGCTCTATCTTACATATTATACAAATCTGAGTCAAAGTGCAGTGTTGGGTGCAGAGGTCATATTCTGGGTGCTTATTTTCCCGTATGCCTCATTGGTTTTCAGAGAGACCTCATCTCGTGCTGCATTGAGTTGCTGATCACCATCGACCACCTCATAGAGCTGTTCCTGGTTCCCGGGACCCTCTCCACCACTCTTTGTTCCCCTCCCTCTCAGTGTGTACATCCAGTGGGCAGCTAACAGTAGGTTGATAGTCACCGAGACGAGGAGCATTACAGCCAGTCCCACCACTACACCAGTCAGGGACTCTGTGGGAGGGGGATTGTGGCAAAATTTTCAGTCTATTGGGTGTCCTTGTAGCTTACCATTGCTGTCGGCTCCTGATCCTGAGTTACCTACAAAAAACAACTTCTTTTGTGAATGTGGAGGTGGCTAGCTATGTATAGTACTTGCCTAGGTCAACACGGAAAGTAGCAGATTCTCCATCCACTGAACATGTGTACTCTCCTTGGTCAGCCTCGGTGACGTTGAATATGATGAGTTGAGACACAGTGACTTTGTCAGTGGAGGACACACTGCCACCACTCAGGGGACCAGTGTCACTGAGGGTAATGATGAATCTGCGGGTCTCCAGGTTTCTCCCAGGAGAGCTCCACTTGAGAGGTGAGGAGTCTCGAGGATAGCCATACACCTCACATGTCAGAACAATCACCTCACTTCCTTCTCTCACCACCAGTCCTGAGGACTCTACCTCCACTATCACTGTAAAGCGGAATAGACACTGAAAGCTCTGCATGATTGTGTGTTTAACCAAAAGAAGCACACTAACTGACGTTTACACTGGTTCTAGCCTCCTTTGTACATAGCTGCCTACACATGTGGCATGCATCGTTAAAAAAACAAAAGCACCACGACTTAATTACCTACAACTAATGCTACATACCCTAAAGCCAATGCAAATTCATTACATGGAAGGTTGAGACGTATGTTTCCAGTGACTGGTGTGGTTCCACTACAATCCACTCCATCAGGACATGCTCCATACTCCACTGTACACATGTAGTCTCCTGCATCAGAATATCTGAGACCAGATATGACTAGACTACTGGACTGAGTGTTGGTGGAGTGTGTGATAGAGAATCGAGTGTCAGTGTTGCTCAGTGGTGTCCCATTCCTCCACCACTGCCACTGGTATTGGTAGTCATCAGTAGGAGGACTGGCCACATAGCAAAGTGAGGCTGACAGAGTCAGGCTGGCCCAGGTCAGGGCTCTCTGTGACTCCGGTGGGTGGGGGAGAGGAGAGAGTGAGGGAGGGAGGGGTGGGAGAGGGGGGAGGGGAGAAGGTTGGTGCGGGGTCAGTGGTAGGAGAGCCACAAGAGATGGAAGATGGAGGATCTCCTGCACACAGTTGTATCTCACTCATGAACAGCCAGTCAGTGTCTTGGTTGAAACTGAATGTGATCTCTACATTATCTGGATTCTGTGGTAGAGTGAATGTATTCCTGGTCAGTGTATTGGTAGAGGAGGAGAAAGAACAGCTCTGAGGGATTAAAGTATCCTCAACTCTTGGATTGAGATCAGTAGCAATTCTAGTAGTCTCAGGTGGTCCTATTTTGGCAGAGGGAAGACTCAAGAAGTAGACTTCAATGTAGGACACAGTAGAGATATCAGTGGCGCTGAAAGGAGTCCCACAGAGCCATTGTCTCGATGCCAGACAAAGAACCTGGTGACCTGGTCTTGATCACTGACATCAACTGAGTCTGTAGGTCCAATGTTTCCATCACTCAACACTCCTTCTCCTGCTCCACACTCCAGAAATCTTGGACCAACTCACAGCCTGTTGTGTCTGGCTCAATACCATTGTATGCCACTGGAGATGTTGTAGTACCAGTTTCTTGAACCCTGAAAGAACTGTACACAGGTTTTATACCATTTACCAGTCACTGCTACTGTATGAACTTGCCTCTCTGGCAATCCTGCTCTGAACTAAGACGGATTGTAAGAAAAGCCACAAGAAATATGGCCTCAGCAGTAATCATTTCTGACCCAACGACTAGTGCTTACTTTGCACATACCTGAACTCTACACCTTATATGTACATTATACATACTCATAATTATTTCGAATCTCAAACACAATGTTTACAACAGCTCTTGTTCACTAGCACAGTGAACCTACACAGCTATATTAGCAGAGGTGTGGTCTAGCACACATACTTAGTGTTGAAGCGAATGTGTGCAGTGTAAGTGTCTTTGACATGTTCCAGTGTTGGGCCCTCCAGTGTGGTGCCTGCCTTGCAGACAAAGTAGAGTCGAGCAGAGTACTGGACTATGTGGCTCTCTGCCTCTCCTCCATAGTAGTCTATGAACACCCCTGGATGGTGGATGTATGATGGTTGGAGTTATGGGGCAGTACTCAGTATAACAAGTTCAAAATCCGCGAATTTTTAAAGAGGCATATAGGGATGGTATAAAAAGAAAGAGAGACAAGATAGGGATGGGATACATGAAGCATGGTTAACAATTAACAGATTTGAGCATGCTGACACCCCTGACATCAGTGTCTGTGTGGGAAAATGTTTCTACAGTATTAGCTATCGAACTTAGTGATTACTTCCTGTTATTGTGGAAGTATTATACTAAAAGTTAAGACTATCCCAATGTTATGCAGTGACAACTCTTAAAGAAAGACTCCCTATACCTGAATCATTAATAAGGGACACCTCTGAAAAGGGAAAGTTACAGAGCCCCCAAACTGTCTCTTATGCAGAGTTTTCACTACACCCACACACCAAAGAACCTCTACATGTACCCATTTTCAGCATAGTGTACTTACCGTCATTGAAAGGGTTGGGCTGTATGTTGGCAGTCCTGATGTTCCCATATGCATTGCACTCTCCACTACTGTCATCATTCTAAAACATTTCCACCAATGAATAATAGACAATTAAAGTGATAAAAATCATTGTCAAAACTAATATCATGTGATTTGTTATCGTGCACATGCTATCAACCCCTTCTGGCTTTAGAGGGTTCAACAGAAGGACAATGGGTATAGTATAGAAGAATGGGGACATAGCCAAGTCACAAGGATAAGGGGGAGAAAAAAGGAGAGGTTTTTACCATGTAGACCGGGGCAAGTCCCTTGGAGGAGCAGTTGGTGTGGTGATGTTCCTACAGACGTGGACCTGGAGGGTCTTCTTGACCGGGTTTGAGAAGTCTGGGTTTGTGAGGATGTTCCCCGTCGTGTCGTACACCGTCTGTGTCCACACGTAGCCACTCTCGCTGCAGGCACCCATAGAGCAACACTCAGACACCATTCAACAACCGATAGCTAGCTACGTAGGTTTAGCAAACGTTGGTGTGGAGCAGCATGCTACAAACTAGATGATGATCAGCTATATAATTATAGCTCAGCCGTTCAGTGAGAATAGGTTTCACTAGACTGTACAGTACTGAAGTTTTGCATGCAGATTTAGACCTATTAACTATTTCTTAGTGTATGCACAACACTTTTATTGACAAAAACTAAATGAAGGCTATATATTATTTTAAATTCTCATATACATACTATATTAACAGATTATTAACATTATACATGAGGAAGAATAGGAGAACCACACTTTAACAAACATGCGCTCTATACTCTAACAGAGACATGGGTATTTATACACACAATAATGGTGACATCACATCCTTATAACATACAGGCATGCGTGCTCTATGTTACATATACAAATCTGAGTCAAAGTGCAGTGTTTGGTGCAGAGGTCGTGTTCTGGGTGCTGATTTTCCCGTAAGCCTCATTGGTTTTCAGAGAGACCTCATCTCGTGCTGCATTGAGTTGCTGATCACCATCGACCACCTCATAGAGCTGTTCCTGGTTCCCAGGACCCTCTCCACCACTCTTTGTTCCCCTCCCTCTCAGTGTGTACATCCAGTGGGCAGCTAACAGTAGGTTGATAGTCACTGAGACGAGGAGCAATACAGCCAGTCCCCACCACTGCACCAGTCAGAGACTCTGTGGGAGGGGGATTGTGGGAACATTTTCAGTCTATAATGGGTGTCCTTGTAGCTTACCATTGCTGTCCACTCCTGTTTCTGAGTTACCTACATAGAACAAATTCTTTGGTGAATGTGGAGGTAGCTAGCTATGAATAGCAACTTGCCTAGATCAACACGGAAAGAAGCAGATTCTCCATCCACTGAACATGTGTACTCTCCTTGGTCAGCCTCTGTGACGTTGACTATGGTGAGTTGAGACACAGTGACCTTGTCAGTGGAGGACACACTGCCACCACTCAGGGGACCAGTGTCACTGAGAGTAGTGATGAATCTGCGGGTCTCCAGGTTTCTCCCAGGAGAGCTCCACTTGGGAGGTGAGGAGTCTCGAGGATAGCCATACACCTCACATGTCAGAACAATCACCTCACTTCCTTCTCTCACCACCAGTCCTGAGGACTCTACCTCCACTATCACTGTAAAGAGGAATAGACACTGAAAGCTCTGCATGATTGTGTGTTTAACCAAAAGAAGCACACTCACTGACGTTTACACTGGTTCTAGCCTCCTTTGTACATAGCTGCCGTACACATGTGGCATGCAACATCAAACAACAAAAGCACCACGACTTAATTACCTACCACCAATGCTAAAGCCACTACCAATTCATTACATGGAAGGTCGAGATGTATGTTTCCAGTGACTGGTGTGGTTCCACTGCAATCCACTCCATCAGGACATGCTCCATACTCCACTGTACACATGTAGTCTCCTGCATCAGAATATCTGAGACCAGATATGACTAGACTACTGGACTGAGTGTTGGTGGAGTGTGTGATAGAGAATCGAGTGTCAGTGTTGCTCAGTGGTGTCCCATTCCTCCACCACTGCCACTGGTATTGGTAGTCACCAGTAGGAGGACTGGCCACAGAGCAAGTGAGACTGACAGAGTCAGGCTGGCCCAGGTCAGGGCTCTCTGTGGCTCCGGTGGGTGGGGGAGAGGAGAGAGTGAGGGAGGGAGGGGTGGGAGAGGGGGGAGGGGAGGGGGTTGGTGTGGGGTCAGTGGTGGGAGAGCCACAAGAGATGGAAGATGGAGGATCTCCTGCACACAGTTGTATCTCACTGATGAACAGCCAGTCAGTGTCTTGGTTGAAATCGAATGTGATCTCTAAAACATTATCATCAGGATTCTGTGGTAGAGTGAATGTATTCCTGGTCAGTGTATTGGTAGAGGAGGAGAAAGAGCAGTTCTGAGGGATGAAAGTATCCTCAACTCTTGGATTGAGATCAGTAGCAATTCTAGTAGTCTCAGGTGGTCCTATTTTGGCAGAGGGAAGACTCAAGAAGTAGACTTCAATGTAGGACACAGTAGAGATATCAGTGGCAGAGAAAGGAGTCCCACAGAGCCATTGTCTCGATGCCAGACAAAGAACCTGGTGACCTGGTCTTGATCACTGACATCCACTGAGTCTGTAGGTCCAATGTCTCCATCACTCAACACTCCTTCTCCTGCTCCACACTCCAGAAACGTTGGACCAACTGCACAGCCTGTTGTGTCTGGCTCAATACCATTGTATGCCACTGGAGATGTTGTAGTACCAGTTTCTTGAATCACTGAAAGAACTGTACACAGGTTTTATACCATTACCAGTCACTGCTACTGTATGAACTTGCCTCTCTGGCAATCCTGCTCTGAACTAAGACGGATTGTAAGAAAAGCCACAAGAAATATGGCCTCAGCAGTAATCATTTCTGACCCAATGACTAGTGCTTACTTTGCACATACCTGAACTCTACACCTTACGTCGTTTTTTGTACATGATTTCATTTTCGTGTAAGGGAGGTTGGGACACTGGGTGTGTAGGGAGAGTTGGGCCCATAAAAGACTCTTTAACCTACCGCCCCGGTTCTCAAGGCTGGGCACCCAGGGTTCTGCCTCTTTCGTTATGTTTATATGTTATTGTCTGTGTTTTTGTATGCTTGTGGGTATGTTATTGTCTGTGTTTTGTGTTCTTGGGTGGGGGAGGTTTTTCTTTTCCTCTCTTTTAGCTAGTATGCTATAAACATGTTTTTTCATGTACATTATTAATACACAAAAAATATTATTCAGAATCTCATACGCAATGTTTAAAACAGCTATTGTTCACTAGCACGGTGAACCTACACAGCTATATACAGCAGAGGTGTGGTCTAGCACACATACTTTGTGTTGAAGCGAATGTGTGCAGTGTAAGAGTCTTTGACATGTTCCAGTGTTGGGCCCTCCAGCGTGGTGCCTGCCTTGCAGACAAAGTAGAGTCGAGCAGAGTACTGGACTATGTGGCTCTCTGCCTCTCCTCCATAGTAGTCTATGAACACCCCTGCATGGTGGATGTATAGTTATGGGTTGTATATTACTTCATGTAGCTCATATCTGGTGTAAGTGGGTCTCCAGAACAGTTGACAGAGAGTCACATGATAAAATAGTGTGATCTCCCCACGAATGTGTAAGAACTAAGTTGTAGTCCTGATTAACATGCACTACGATAGATGGAGTTCCAGTCACCACAGATGAACATGTCGACCTCAATTCTAGTTAGAGACACAGCTGTGTCAAAGCCAAATGTCAGCAGAATATTAGGGTAATACATATCAGGATGACATTCGCTGACTCCTCTGTGGTATCCCCACTGTCACTAGCTGAGATGCCCAGTCTGAGATACTTGTATTAATAGTTGGAGATATACCATCAATCAGATAGCTGATGGCACCATTCCCTCGAAAGCCACATGTTGTATATAACTCCATTAGTAACTGTTAGTGGACCAGTGCATCCCATGTCAACGGCAGATCCGTGCACTGACTCCAAATTTTGATGTACCACTTGAACTGGCAGACTCACACCCACTGAATATGGGATATCAGAGAAGCATAGGACACTATCAGGTTTAACTTACTGCTGAGACTCAGACTCAAACCGGACTATCAATAAACTGAGTGCCGTCTTCATCATATGTTATATATAATATATCCGCTAAGGCTGCGCCGGTAGAAGATCACCTCCTAACACTAGCCAGCAACTACTCTTGACTATCTGTGACTACAGTTTTGAAAGTTTTAGGTGTCAATGAGGAAACAAAGTTTTTATAGGAAGATTAAGGAATCCAATGCAAGTATGCCCACGCTTAATTATTTTATTTTGGTGCAAAATATAATAATGGTGTGTCCCACATTTTACTATAAACAGTGCCTGGCACAATGCCTTGGAGATCATAGTTGAGGAAGCATTCCACCTCCACATCCCATACAGAGCTCAACTGTACAGTCCTTACTGAGTGCTGAGTGCGTTAGCATTAGGCTACTAATTCTGCATTGTAGCTGTAGCTGTCACACTTCACACAAACGTATGCAGCACAGGTGTTGACATTACACATAGGACTGTTTCTGCACAGCGTGACAAGGAGATCGAGCTGAAGTAGGTTTGAGATGACAAGCCCAATTTAAGATAATTATATGGTCAATACAGAGTCAATCGAAAAAAGCTAGAGGGAATCTCCTTGCACATGAAGGTATTAGACCATGTGATGCCAAGAGAAAGATGGAGCTCTGGACAGCTGTTTCAGGATTGTTGGCCTTCATCAACATGTAAGTGGTACTGCACAGTGTCCCCAATGTACGTACAGACTCAACTACTCCAGTTGTCCACACCTCCCTTTCCCACGTTTCACAAAAATCTCTGCGTATCCCTTTTAATCATAAGACCTCTACTTCTGTTCAGTGCCCATACACAGAAATTTATTTCTATCGTCTCAAAATTTACCCACAAACAAGGCTAGTTTTGTGTGTAAGATCGTCATTTCACCAGCTCATAAGTGACCTCTTCCCTTGGGCTAGTTATCTTGGTCAGAGCATATGCCTCATTAGGAGAGACAGGAACATCAGTTGTCTTGGTGGTAGGGTTAGTGGCCTCTGAATAGGTCTCAGTCTTGTTCCTAGACCTCCTCATTCTGAAGATGAGTAGACATTGAGTGAGGATGACTGTGGTGAGAATGAGGATCAGCAGGAGAGATACTGCTGACACAGCAATCACAGCTGAGCCACAGGACTCCTCACTGCATGTACAGTCATTCTCTCTGTCTCCAGGAACTGAGGGTGGCACAATTTCAGCTACAAAATAATGTGAACAGATGCCATGTAAAGTGAGCTCACTATTAATTACATAGCTTGACAGGTCCTCATTGTTTGTTGGACATTGATTATGCATTGGAGACGAGTAATGAGCTACAGTAATGATCATTATCTGCATCTAGTATGTGCCTTAAAGAAAACATGAGCCCTGATGGTGTAAGCTGATCATTATCATTAATTTTTGCCCACCATGTTTATATCTCTCTTGCCACATTACCATGGGCTGAAAATATGTAGCACTCCTTTAGCAAATGCATGGTTCTGCTGGTCAATAACCCCACCTTAACAATTGTCATAAAACTCACGAAATGAAGATAGCTTTATTGGAGTGTGTACATTTGTAATGAAAAGCACTAAAGTGCAAAACCCTCGGCGGCGTGGAATAGCTCAAGTATCGGAAGTATCCAGTATAGCTTTATGCAGTCGGTCACGTTCATGCCTGTGCAACGTCTGCTCAATTGTTAACCCTCGGCGCGCATGCGCAGCGAGGGTGACGGTAGTCGTTCTGTCTGTGTGTGTGTGTGTTGTGTGTGTCGACGCTTATTCTGGCACTACAGGCTACGAGGCGGCCCGTTAGCGATACCAGCGGATTCAGAACTACGGGAGCCTGAAAATAATTAGGCGATTTTCCTGAAACGACTTCGTTCGAGAGATATGCCGTGAAAACAAGCGAAAAAGCCAATATGCATAATCGCACTGGGCTTACCGCGACCTGATCCGCTCGCTCTGTGTACCTTGGGGGCTCAGGAAGTCACAACCAATGGCATGTCATGCTATCTACTACTGTAGGTAGCCCGTGTCTCGACTCTCCGCGGGCTACTAGCGGAAGACTACGAGTAAACGCAAATAGCCGGCCCAGCCCATCAATTAGCAGTATCGCGCATGCGCAGTTCGCCGAGGGTTTGCACTTTAGTGCTTTTCATTTCAAAGGCTCTTGTGGTTTCTTTATGCAGTCTGTCACGTTCATGCCTGTGCAACGTCTGCTGAATTGTTTCAGAGGCTCTTGTGGTTT